CCTGCCAATCTGCATCAAAAACTAAATGTTGAAATAAAATGGAATTGACACCTTTTCACTTTTAGGTAGCGATATATATATATATATATACATATATATCCTAGATCCTAACTTATGTGGCTTATGAATAGAAACTAAGCAATTGCTTTTTTTTAATTCAGACCTTTAACTCGATTTATTCAAGGAAATTATGTATTTGATTCACTTGAATTTTTCCTTGTGTGTATAGTACGATTATTAAAATTGTACTTAAAATCTTTTTAATCGCTTAAATTACATTTTAAACTAAATATATCAGAGCAAGAATCGTTAGACCAAGCGTAAATTGAGGACTTAGCGGATCCAGCACTTTGCAGGATATTTGTTGGGATTAAAATTGCAAGAAATACAAATGTTTTTGACATCAGAACTGGAGATCTGGTGGGTAAGTACTAAAATGGGGTACTTGAGGTCAATGAACTTTGCATTCAAAACTGTCTTCTCGAGGCAAGAACATCGATATATCATTCTTTATCCGACTATAATGCCCGAAGATATAACATGAAGCATTTAAAAATATACGTTCGGCAAAAAAAGAATGCCTTGCAAAAATACTTTAGACTCAGGTTTATAGGGCGAACTTTTTTTCTGGTACGGTCTAATGTGTACCTACATTGTTCATTGTTACAAGAATCTCTAAAATTTTTTCTAATAAGGTAAAACATACCAATGGCAATGGAACTTGAGATGGCACAATGTCGCAATAACAACACAAGGAATTTTCTAAATATGTACATATGTATTATCGTCTTTCGATTATCCGTCAGGCAACCAACTAAATGCTAATACTTCTAATAAAGATATAATAAATTGCATATTTAATAAATTAATTACTTAGTTTAAAATTTAAACTTTCAACGTTCTTCATACATATGTACATATGTACATTAGACTGCATCACCAAAAAAAGTTGCGGTTTTTCCGCGGTGATTATAAAATTTATTATATTTGAACCCGTCCACCAAAATATTTCGGAAAAATGTTAAGATTTAAGCGAGCTGGTCCGATTTTAATGTACCTCCAAAAATAGAGTTTTTTATGAATAAAAATAGTTTCTTAAAGAACTTTTTGAAATAAATCCCCTCATATAACAAAAAACGATTAAGCTTAAAAAATCGCATCAAAATATATAAAAATCGTTTCAACGGAATCGCAATAATGAGATTATGATGCTTTTTTTTTTACTTTTTTCAAAGATTGATTTACGAAAAACTTAAATAACTGGGCCAAAACCATTCTGATTTAGACTTACATATGTGATCTCGGTAGAAAAGTATTTTCCCACTCTATTTATTTATGCTCAAAAAAAGTAGTTTTTTCAGTAATTTCTTTTTTTCAAATACCAACATATCTTAGTTCAACTTTGAATGATGTTCGTTCATCCTACCTTTTTGTCATTTGAGGAGATTTTTTCAAAAAACATCTTTAAGAAACTATTTTTATTCATAAAAAACTCCATTTTTTGAGGTATTTTCAAATCGGTCCAGCTCGCTTAAATCCTAATTTTTTTCCGAAATATTTTGGTGGACGTCTTAAAATATAACAGATTTTATAATTCCAATGGAAAAACAGTACAGATTTTTTTTTTGTATGAGGAGTGATGCAGTCTAATGTACATACATACATAAATATGTATGTAGATAAACCTATTTGTTTTTAAATCTGTTTTAACTTACGTATAGTCCCGGCCTGAGCATGCGATTCAAAAACAATTATGGAAGACAGCTCACGCTTAATGCTCGTCGACAAGTGTGAAAGAGCGGTGATATGAAGGAGCTCCTCAAATATCAATTCCAATTCTTCAGGAGTGCGTTCGTGAGATCTGTAATAAGAACATATGTGCATATGTGTAACAGCTAGAAATTTCCTTATGAACGGCAAACGATGATTTTACAGTAGTAAAAAAATTTATGTTTAATTTTTACTAAATTGCAGCAAGATGAGGAATCGCCAAGGGGCACACAGTGGTCGGAGAAGCTATGTTTTACGCTAAAAATTAGAAGAGCTGTTACGATTATAATAAAAATGCATCATCGTAGTATTTTTGTTATGCTAAATCTGAGAATATGCCATACAATTTTTAGTTTGGCAGTTGACAGCTGTCAAATCAACTGCTAATTTCTCTAAAAATAAGAAAATATTTTTGAAAATACCACTTATTAGGTTTTTAGGCACGCTAGTCACGAATTTTATGTCAAATTAAAAGTTTCACAGTCGACAGCTGTCAATCGGACTGCCAATTTTTATAAAAATCAAAGAATCTTTTTTGAAACGTTACTGATAAGGTTTTTAAACATGCTGATCACGAGTTTTACGTCAAGCTGAAGCTTTGAGAGTTGACAGCTGTCAAAATGACTGTTAATTTTTCTGAAAATAAGAAAATGTTTTTTAAATGCTACTGGTAAGGGTTTTAGACACGCTAGTCACGAATTTTACGTGAAATTAAAACCTCGAGATGTGCCAGCTGTCGAATGGGCTGTCAATTTCTCTAAAAATAAGGAGAATTTCCCAAGAAGTAAACGTACTAGGTTTTAGGGCTCACTGATCTCGAGTTCTATACTACATTCAAACTTTTTCAGTTGAAATCTGTCAAATCCACTATCATTTTTAGTTGAGTAACACAATATATTTGTTAAGCAAAATTACTGATTTATTGTATTTGATCGAAGAAAATTTAAAATGAATTTATGATCAAATTATGAATTAATAACAATAATTAAATTTATAAATGGGGGATAATTGGGGCCGCCTGCTATATGATCAGCCCAAACAATTTTTTAAGATTTTTTTTTATTTTGTACCAAATTGGTGATTTCTCAAACTAAAGTTTTCTCATTTTTAAATAACGTTATTCAGGTTTGAATTTTCGTAAATGATACCATCTGAAGTCTCTGTTGCGAACCTCCTGGGCTTCCTCAGAAAAATGTCCTACTGGCAAAGGCATACCAAAAGCAATACCAAATGTCATAAAAAATGTAGTAGTTTTTTAAACTCCTGAGCGCCATATTGGATACAGAAGCATGACAGATGTGTCCAGTAAGGAAGGGCGTAATATTCGGTAACGATAACTTCCGATAACAGCCTTCGGAGTTGCCATGAATGCGAACCTCTAAATAGTAAATTTCAAAAAAATTCAATAACTCATTTAAATCTCGGACGCCATATTGGATTTTGAATTTTTAATTTTCTAAAACTAGTTTGAAATTTGTAATAAGGGAACTTAAGAACCTCAAAATACCAAATTTCATGAAAATTCAGTAATTTTTTAAATTCTTGGACGCTATATTGGATTCGTTATTTTCGGTTTTTGAAAATTAACTTCAGGCTTGTATAGAAAAATTATATTAATCCGTAGTGTTTTATATACTTTATGTTATTTGGAACAACTGCTAAAGTTGGTATGGTGTAATAAAAGAGGCCGCGCATTTTGGCGCGAGTATGCGCAGTCATTCTTTTCATACATCCTTAAAGGACCCCTTGCATTACTTTTTGGTAAAGGAATGAAGATCCTACTCGGCCCTACAAATTAGTTATACTTTTTTGAAAAAAATATTTCTTGAACAATCATCTGTGTTATTAAGATATTCATAATTTGGCAACGAAATTTTATTATGTAATATTTCATATAAAATCATCATTTGCCATCTTTACGAAGTAACACCAAACCAGCAATTACTGTTGTAATTTAAAGTTTCCATAAAAGAAGTTGTTGTGATAGCCCCGCCCCGTGCGTGGCTCAAATTAAAGAACTTGGATAGCACTAAAAAACGCCCTATATCAACATATTTTCAGTGGTAAAATTAAGATGTTTGTGAAGAAAATTCTGACATAGGGGGATTTCAATCAAATTCTAAAGTAGGGCGTTCTTGAAAAGTTTTCTGAGATACGGCGTTTTCGAACCTGCTGCCGACATAGGTCAACCTTCCACTCAGCCGTCGATTTTTAAATGGGAAATAATACCAAAATCTGAGTTTTGCTTTATTTCCAATAGTAGTTGTTAAATATGCAGAAGGCAAAGTGGTTAAATAAAAGCGGCACTTTATGTGGTCATGATGTCAATTTCCAGTATGGCCGTGGGTCTTATGTCACCCGACCAAAAAGTTGTCAAATGTTAGTTGCTCTTATTAGTCAACAAAAAATAAAACAAAGCAAATTTGTGTTATTTCACTTTTAATTGAGAAATAACACAAATTTGCTTTATTGGCGTTTCCCTCATAGCATTGTTAAAAATGGCACTTTTGGAAAGCAGCAGTATTTCGATACATTTTTGCGTATTTTCTCCACTAAAATGTTCTGATTTCAAAAGTTTATACAGCTGGTTTATCTGTTTTATTTTACAAATGTGGTTCTCGTTTTAATGGCACCTTATAGCTAAGGATAGTTGGCAGCGTTGGACAGGGATCTTCTAAAACGCACGCGAAGATCAAAATGGTTTTAGGAGCGATAGGGAGGCCTTGAGCCTTAGTACAATGTGCACAGTAAAAACTTGTGAAATATCATTTCTTCCTCTAAATTTCCTCTTCTATGCAAGTAGGGACATATGTATGTACATTAGACTGCATCACTCCCCATACAAAAAAAAAACCATTGGCATTATAAAATTTTTCCATTGGAATTATAAAATCTATTATATTTTAAGACGTCCACCAAAATATTTCGAAAAAAGATTAAGATTTAAGTGAGCTTGACCAATTTTTAAATACCTCCAAAAATGGAGTTTTTTATGAATAAAAATAGTTTCTTAAATTTTTTTTTGAAAAAACCCCCTCAAATGACAAAACGGTTTAAGCTTAAAAAATTTGCATAAAAATATTTTTAAAAAATTTAAAAAAAAATTTAACGGAATCGTAATGATGAGATTTTTGATGCTGGTTTTTTAACTTTTTTCAAAGATTGGTATAAGAAACACTTGAATAACTGAACCTTCCGATTTGGACTTAAGAGGTGTCGGTGGAAAGGTATTTTCTCTCCTTTTTATTTCTTTGCTAATAAACTCATTCAAAGGATGAAAGAGAAAGGTAGGATGAACGAACGCCATTCAAAGTTGAATTAAGATGTGTTGGTATTTGAAAAAAAGGGACACGAATGACTTTTTTTTTGACAGAAATAAAAACAGTGTGAAAATACCTTTCTACTGAGATCCCATAAGTCTAAATCAGAATAGTTTTGGCACAGTTATTCAAGTTTTTCGTAAATCAATCTTTGAAAAAAGTAAAAAACAGCATAAAAAATCTCATTCTTACGATTCCGTTGAATAGATTTTTAAATATTTTTATGCAAATTTTTTAAGCTTAATCTGTTTTGTCATCTGAGGGGACTTTTTTCAAAAAGTTCTTTACGAAACTATTTTTATTCATAAAAAACTCCATTTTTGGAGGTACTTTCAAATCGGTCCAGCTCGCTTAAATATTAATATTGTTCCCAAATATTTGGGTGAACGTCTTAAAATATTATAAATTTTGTAATCCCGGCGGAAAACCTGCAACTTTTTTTGGTGATGCAGTCTAATGTACATATGTAAGCAAATTCACCATACTTATGTGCATTCATTTGTATGCGCTTATTAGCTTTTGATGAATAACATTTTTTT